GAATATAAGAAAAAAATGAAGAGGGGAATTATTTCTTGACCTCAAGAATTATTTCTATGTATTTATAATGATTTCCATCAATAGTGCATGGCTTATGTCTCAACATGTCACTGTGACCTGTTTTATAGTTTTATGGAATATAAGAAAAAAATGAAGAGGGGAATTATTTCTTGACCTCAAGAATTATTTCTATGTACTTATAATGATTTCCATCAATAGTGCATGGCTTATGTCTCAACATGTCACTGTGACCTGTTTTATAGTTTTATCATGCAAAAATATTTTAAAGAATAAGTATTAAAGAGTAATTGAAATTAAGATATTGTTTAATCATAAGCCCAAAACAAATAATGGATAGTTTTCTAAGCCTTTTTTTCTACTTCTAGAAATGATTGATTCTATCCCAGAATGAACTTTCTACTCTTTAAAAGTACACATAAGCTTGGCTTTGAATTTGATCTCTTGAATATTCTAAGCAAAGACTTAAGAGACATTCTTGTTTCAGTACAAGCATACTAATATGCATATTTTTAATCCTAGGTATTTACACAGAATAGCAACAATTATTCAAAAATGGTGGAGAAGTTATTTAGGGAGAAAACACTATTACTTAACTGTGAAGGTAAATATAAAATTTATATGTGTTAGAATTTGAGTTATACAATATATAGTAACTTATTAATTTCAGTTGTATGACATGTAGTTTGGAAGTTGCTGATAATAAATATTTATATAAGCACAAAATTGGGCTTAATTTTTGGTATGAGACCTCCTCTGAGAAGTCTTTCCTGATTTTTTCATGGAGAGGAAATGAGAGAGACTCATTTCCTTGTACCCAAACTACACTAGGTATTTAATTTTTTTTAAAGTATCTTTCACTGTATATGCTTTTATATATGTTTATGTGTTGATGATTATCTATACTTTATATATGGTGAGCTCTTTGAAAGTAGGCCCCATAGCTTGTTCATTTTTGGTTCACCAACATTTTAGACTAATGCCTAGCCTGTGACATAGTCAATAACATCCTCATAAGGATGCTGAATTGGTAGAAGCAACCAGTGGGACTTCCTCTTTAATTCTTCAGGACTTTCTACTAAATCTTGTTTCACAGGTATAAGTAAGATTTAAATAGATGATAGTTCCAAAATGTATTTTTATAAAAAGTTACATATAGTATCGGTATATCACTAATGTATTTGTAATTAATATTATTGGAAAGCAACAAAAGATTACATGGGGACTTTATGATAGCTTTTTTTTAAATTAAAACCTGCTATTTGCCAGACATTTTGCATAGATTATTTAATTTGTATTATCATAATGCTCATTAAAAGTAACTTGTAATACTCGTTAGGCAGGTTGGGAAACTGAGGCTGATATACTTGTCCGTGAATGTATAGTGACATATTTGGTATACATAGCAGCCTTGCAGTTGTTTTATAACTATTCGTATCATGTGGCGATTTGTCTGTTAATCTCTTTGATGACAGAGACGTCTCATCATTGTTGCATTCTCCTAGCATGGTCCTGGCATATAATATATGTTCAATTAATGCGCAAATAAATAGAAGAATGAACACCAATGCTATTTTTATTACACTGTGGTTCTCCCTTTATTAGGTAGAAGCTGAAAATTGAACTTGATCAGTAATCAGTCTGAGTGTAAAATGTCTTACTATTTTTTTCCTCTTTTGACTTGATTTTGGTTAAAAGCATCATTTAAAAAGTAACTCTTTGAACTACTCTGAAATTAAATGCCTCTCTTTCTGTTTCTGCTTAATATCTTGGAATGGAAAAGTAAAGGTAACTATTTAATAATTGCAGAGTATCTGCTTAGGTGCCAGGCACTGTTGTAAGCATTTTTTGTACAGTATCTGAGTCTTGTACCCAGCTTTTTACTCTTGATGAATAGTAGAAACAGCACAGACTTTAGAACTGATGATGGTTTGGTGACTGTGGACAAGTTATTTAACCTATGTGGGCCTTGCTTATGACCCTAGTCTTTAAAATGGGGATACGTATTTTTTGTAGATTTTTCTGAAAATTAATTGAAATACTGTACATAAAATACCCAGAACTGTGACTGGCGCATACCAAGTGCTCAAACATAGTAGCTATTTTATTTCATTTGTGATGCAGTTGTTTCTGTTATTTAAAGACCATTGAGGGAGTTTGCTTGGAGTAATATAAGTGAGAAATTTTCAAATCAAGCCAGCTCCATTTTATATTTCTCTCACTGGTGCATATTCACATGAGTTCATTATATGTGACTATGTGTGTGTGTGTATAATGTTTATATAATGATTCAGGAAACCTCATCAACTGTGAAGATTTCCTTTCTTAGAATTAGGGACTGTAGAAATTAGAAGGAGGAAAGCAAAGAATTACAAAGATAGCTATCTTTAAAGCTGTTTTAAAATAGGAAAGAAAACTGAAGAGGGGAAAGAGCCTTTCAGGATTTAAACCTAGATAATGGATTCTGCACTAATCCGTCTAACCTACTATTCAGCTTTCACCCCCCTAGAATCTAGAGCTTGATATTTTAGAATATTAAAGGTTATCATTTGTATAATGTGTATATCCTTATCATTGGCTATGTCTTCATTGCTTATATACTAAAATTGCTGTAATTAAATATATGCATGTATATAGTGTTGAAGAATTAAATCTGCATAATCTTAATAAGATGATATTCTAAAAAAAACAAGTGTGGTTGTACAACAATAGTTTTAAGCATCTTTGACAACTGCTGACATTGGACGGGGAGCCAGTGAAGCAGATGAAGTCAGACTGAAGGACTGAAGGTAGCTTTATAAGTGTTTCCTGGGGTTGATGTCATATTCTTAAACATTAAAGAAGAGATCTGGTGGGCCGGCCCAAGCTTTATAAGTGTTTCCTGGGGTTGATGTCATATTCTTAAACATTAAAGAAGAGATCTGGTTTTCTTCTTTTATATTCTCAAGCTGAGGTTGGCCAGTTAGCTGAGTTGGTTAGAGTAGAGTGCAGCCTTGTAACACCAAGGTCAAGGGTATGGATCCCCATACTGTCCAGCCACCAAAAAAATAAAAAAATAAAAATAAAAATATACTCTCAAGTGGAATGCTCAGGCATTTTAGTAATTACCTTTTATCTGGTATACATACAAACAACCCTTATTATTTATTTAAAGATACATAGAGGCAAAGAATTCTACTGGCTACAGTATATATTTCACGTGCTATTTGAACTTAATTATACTATTTTAAAGAAGAATCTTATTTGATATTTAAATATATTTTTGTCATACAAATATGGAAAAATTATAATTAAATATCAGTGCTTCTTTTGTACATCAAATTTCTATTGATGCCTTTTAAATACTATTTTCCAGACGCAAGTGTTTTTTCCCCACCTTCTTTCTTTCTAATTTTGACAAATGCTTTTCTTTTTTTTTTCTTTTTTTTTATTTACTTTACTTCCACTGATACTTCAGGCCACTTAAAAAGTAATGTTTAAATTTTGAAGTAATTTCAGATTTACAAAAAGTTGCAAAAATATAGGAAAAACTGCTATATATTCTTCACTCACAGATTTCTTCACTCAGTTGAAACAATTCCCATTATTCTTTTCTCTCTCCATGTATATATATTTTTTCTATATATACATATCGTTATTCTGAATCATTTGAGACAAAGTTTCAGAAATTATGCCCTTTTATCTCTAAACATGTCAGTGAATATTTTCTATGTAAACATATTACAATTATCAAAATCAGGAAATTGACATCTGTACAAAATTATTATTTAATCTACAGAGTCTATTTATATTTCACTGATTTCCCAAAAATGTCATTTATAGCAGAAACATCTTTTCCAGGCTACAAACTAGGATTTCACATTGTACTTAGTTATCATGTCTCTTTAGTCACTTTTAATCTGGAGTAGTTAATTCCTTAGTCTGCCTTTGCCTTTCATGACCTGATATTTTTGATGAGTATAGATAGCCTAGTTATTTTTCAGATTATTCCTTAGTTTTGATTTGCTAATGTGTCTTCACTATTAGATTGAGGTTGTGCATTTTTAGCAGATATAAATTTTAATAGAACGTGTTAGGAGGCACATGATGTCAGTTCGTCCAGTGACTGTTGATATTAACTTTGACCATTTAAAGTGGTGTCTCCCAGGTTTCTACATTATAAACACTTATGAGAGGATATTTAAAGATTGCGTATATATCTTCTTCCTCATCAAACTTCTGTATATCGGGTTTAGA